CTGCCAAAAGAACAAACAGATCTGTGTTGGAAGAAGTGCAGCCGGAGTGCTCCTTGGAGGCCAAACTTCATCTCTCATACTTCAGATATATTGTCAGGAGGGACCAGTCACTGGAAGTGGTATCATGTTTGATAGACCCCCAGCGAGATGGATTGGCAAAGTGGCAGCATCAATGGCCTGAGCGTGGCAACAATTGTGAGGTTGGCCCAGGACCAAGTCATGTTTCATTCTGTTGTGCATAGGATCGCTATGAGTCGGTACTGACTAGATGGCATCTAATGACAACAAATTCAGTCTATATGCTGAGCAAATAATCCAAGAAGCTGGACTAGATAAACAGTTGGGATATACTCAAGATTCTATTTGGGATCTTGTGGACATATTTTAATTTTCTTCAGCTTCAACCTGAACTTGCGTCTGAGCAATTGATAGTGTGTTCCATTGTCGTTCCCTGGCCTTTTCTTACTGATGCTACTGAACCTCTTCATCATCTCTTTCCACAGATGTGGTTGACTTGATTCCTGTGTATTCCATCCTGTGAGATCCATGTGTAAAGTCACCGTTAATGTTGAAAAAATGTATTTGCAATGTATAAGTTGTTGGTCTTGTAAAAATTCTGTCATTTGATCCCCAGCATCATTTCTGCCACCAAGACCAAATTTCCCAACCATTGATCCTTCTTTAGTTCCAACTTCCACATTCCAATCACCAGTAATTGTCAATAATTCTTGATTGCCTGTTTCATCAATTCCAGACTGCAGAAATTGGTCAGTCTTCATTTTTTTTCATCTCTGTCCTTAGCGGTTGGTGTAGAAATTTAAATAATAGTCCCATTAACTGGTGTCCCATATTTGTTTTTGTTAAGTGCGTTGAGTCGGTTCCAACACATAGCTACTCTGTATAGGGTTTCTGAGGAGTGGCTGGTGAGCTGAACCGCCGACATTGCAGTTCAAACCAACCTTGCAGTCCAGTGCATTAACCCGCAGTGTCACACCAGGGCTCCTTATAGGCATATGGATATTACTCTATTACAGAAAGTGCTGTTCTTTAACATAGATCTTGAAATGTTCCTTTTGACAATGATTGGAAAGCCATGCCTCTTAAATTTGTCATTCCTAGCATAGTAAGTCACATGATGTCTGATTCAAAATGGCCAGCACCAGCCCATTTCAGCTCATTAATATCTGAGATGTTGATCTTTATGTGTTCCATTTCATTTTTGACAACTTTCAATTTTCCTAGCTAGATTCACACTTCACTTATTCCACATCCCAGTTACTAATGGATGCTTGCAGTTATTTCTGCTCATTTTGAGTCATGTAACATCAGCAAATGAAGGCTTTGAAAACGAGATTCCATCCATGTCATTCCTGTTGATTCTACTTTGAGAAGGCCGTGCTTCCCCAGTTGTATTTTGAGTGCCTGCCAACCTAAGGAGCCCATGATGGTACCATATCAGACAAGGAACCGCAGCTATCCAGAAAGTTTGCAGTAGCTTATTTTTCAAGAAGCAGATCACTAGGATCTTCTTACTAATCTTGTCTTAGTCTGGAGGCTCCACTGAAACCCTGCCCACCTTGGGTGATTCTGTTGGTTCTTGAAACACCTTTGGCATAGCTTTCTAGCACCACAGCAACCTGTAAGCCACCACAGTGCACAGCTGTCAGCCAAGTGATGGAACATCATGATCAATGGAGAAAAGGTTGAAGTTATGAAGGATTTCATTTTACTTGGATCCACAAGCAACACTTATGAAAGCAACAGTCAAGAAATCAAATGGCGTCGTATTGCATTGGGAAAATCAACTGCAAAAGATTTCTTGAAAACGTTAAAAAGCAAAGCTGTCACTTAGAGGACTCAAGAATACGTGACCCAAGCTATAGTGTTTTCAATCGCCTCATATGCATATTGGAGTCCTGGTGTGGCGCTGTGGGTTAATGCACTAGACTGCAAAGTCCGTTTGAACTGTAAGGTTGGTGGTTCAAGCTCACCAGTCACTCCTTGGAAACCCTCTAGAAGGTCGCTATGGGTCGGAACTGACTCGTGGGCATTAAACAACAACAACAACATATGCATATTGGTGTGTGGTTGCTTCATATGATAAGCACAGGACTACAAACCACAAGGTAGGTGGTTTGAGCTCTGCTCTGTGGGAGCAAGGTTAGGCTTTTCTGTTCTCACAAAGATTTACAGCCTCAGAAACCCTATACAGGGTCTCTAGGAGTCTGAACCAACTCTAAGTACTTAACAACAACAACAACATATGCATACGAAAGCTGGACAAAGAATAAGAAAACTGTAGAAGAATTGATGCCTTCGATGTTGGTGAAGAATGGTGACTGTGTCATACACTGTTTAAAGAACAAACTAATCTGTCGTGGAAGAAGTACAGCCAGAATACCCCTTAGAAGTGATGATGGTGAGATTTCTTGTCATTGTTCAGGTTACCAGGAGGGACCAGACCCTGGGGAAGGCCATCATGCTTGGTAACTAGAGGGTCAGTGAAAAAGAGGAAGACCCTCAATGAGATAGACACAGTGGTTTCAACAATGGGCTCAAACACTGGAATGGTGGTGAGGATAGCACAAGACTAAAGAGTGTTTCGTTTTGTACTATAGAGGGTAGCTTTGCGTCAGAAATGACTTGATAGTGCCTAGCAACAACCATCAACAATCAACTGAGTGTGTAGTGTTCAGGTCATTGTTAAGAGGTGTCGAGTCAGTTCTGATCCACAGCGACCCTGTATAGGGCTTGTGAGGAGTGGCTGGTCAGCTTGAACTGCTGAACATGTGGTTCAAATCGACTTTGTAGTCCAGCACATTAACCCACAGCGCCACACCAGGACTCCTAGTGATTAGGTAAGGAGATGAATTATTACACTCATTGTACAGATGAGTAGGAGATCCCGGGTTGTGCTGTGGATTAGACGTTGGGCTACTAACTACGAGGTTGATGGTTCAAACCCCCCAGCTGCTCTGAAGGAGAAAGGTGAGACTGTGTGTTCCTGTAAAGATTTACAGTCCCAGAAACCCTGTGTAGGTTGGTTATGAGTCAGAATCCACTCGACTCAGTGGCAGTGAGAAACAGATGAAGAAACGGTGGTTCAGAGAGACAAACTAACTTGCCTCGGGTTGTACAGTAGTAATGACAGGGTTGGGATTTGAACCCAGGCCTTCTGGCTCTAGTCTGATGGTAGAGACAGGCAGAGACTCCCCATACCCTTATCTCACACCACTCCCCGGCTTCTCCTCTCACCTTACGGCACTTCACCTGCGTCTTCTGCATTTTCTTGATGGTCACCAGGTTCTCTGCGATCTCCTCTTCCTGAGCCTCTATGGGGTGGGGGAAGGGGTTCAGGGGATCCAGGGCTACAGAACGACCCCCCACCTGGTTTGGGGCTCCGGGCACTCACGGAGCTTCTGGTAGATGAAGGTCACCTCCTCTCGAACCAGCTCCAGCTCCTCCCAAAGAAACTTCTTACTGAGGAGACAGTGATGCCTAGACTTGTCCTACTTGACCTGTCCAATCAGCCACTCCCCAGCCTTGTTCCCCAACCCCCATTGCATGCCTACTCTTGCTTTCCAGCTACTCCCCACTTCTCTCCATCTCCTCCTGACCTCCAGTCTCCCATTTCCTCAGTTGCTCCCAGACCCCTACACACCCATTGCCTGGCCTCCATTCTCCCATTTCTGTACCCCACCCCACCCCGCATCCTGCCTTCTGGCCTCCCTGTCTTCCCTCCACCCTAGTCTCTACCAAGTTCTCAGCCCTTGCTCTTGTCCCTTTCCACTGGCCTCAATCCTTTGCCCAGGTCTTCCATTTCCCCACATCCCACCTGTGGTGCCTCCTCCCTGGCCTCCCTTCCTTGCCTCCTGCCCGTGCCCACCTATCCTGGATCTCCTGGGCTAATAGCTGCAGACAGCGGGCTGTGCGAGCCTGCTGTAGCTCCTCATTGTCCTGCAGAGTCTTCTGAAGTCCTTGTAGACCTTGGGCCAGGGCCCCGTACAACTCCTGCCGGCCCTGTTCCAGGCCCCACTTGTGCAGCCCCTTCTGTGCCTGGCAGCCTGTGGGGCTCAGCACCTCTGCAGAAACAAGAGGGGACCGTTACAGTGCCCTGACGTCATGCTGTACCCAGCTTGATCCTACCTCTCAATCCAGCCCACTTTAACTTCTCTCCCCCGGGCCTGACCCTGACTAAGTCCACCAAGACCAGGCCTCCAGCCTGACCTTGACCCCTGGCCAGACTTTACCTTCAAGCTGTTGGATCTTGATCTGTTGTAGGCAGCTCTCCTTCTCCAACATGGTCACAGAGTGGTTCAGGAACTCAAAAGCCTGGGGGACAGAGGTCATGCCTAGGGCTGGAAGGGCATCGGTGGGACAGTAGTTGCTAGGAGTAGTGCCACACAGCTCACCTTGGTCTGGGCCTGTAGCTGGCTCTTGAGTGATTCCAGTTCGAACCGCAGTTGCTTCTGGGATTCAGGGATCATGATGGACTTAGCTATGGGCAGAGGTGAGGGCCAGCTGAGGCTGGGAGGGGTGGGGGCAGGGGCAAAGTCAGGGCAGAAGTAAACTGAGGCTCAGAGTACTGGCAGGGGGTCGGGGATGGGGCAGGGTTCCCTTGAAGTGGAGGTAGGGGGCAAGAGTCAGCAAAGGCTGGGAAAGGGGTCAGTAGATATTTAGGCAGACGGTAGATCTTTCTCACACAGCGTGGTGAGGGAGGGGTCTTACCTTTGACCTTGAGACTGTTGGTATCCAAGGACTTCTAGGGGAGGGGGATAAGCAGAGAGTGGTATTTTTCCCTAAGCTACCTTAGGATGGTTGTGCACACTGTGGGTCTGCTAGACCCTGGGGGTCCAAGCCATGAAGACAGGCATAGGCTGGTCTGCACACATGCTCACAAGTGCACCTGTGTCTGGTTCAGGATGTGGGCTGCCAGCATGTGGACTCTGAGCTCAGACTCTGGCCCAACGCTCGCCCTGTCCCTGGTTTGGGCTCAGGTAATAGTAACCAACATCAATCAACATCATCTGTTGTGGGAGCTAATAACACCGAATACACTATGCACAGTTGCTGAAACACCCAGGGACCTAACCACACCTTAACCCTAGTCTCATACTCCAGTCTCATCATCAAGACCCACAGAAACCACTGGAACACATGGCTCAGCCTCACAACCACAACTACACAGACCTCTGGGCAAAGTCGAACCCAGAGACAAGCAGACAGAGCCCTGTTAAAAACATGTGGTCATGCATTCTTTCCTTCTGCTCTTTCATCCGTTCATTTAGGGCCTTTTTAGTGAAGGCATTGTTCGAGGTGCTGGGAGCCTCTAGGGAGTGTTCTTGGGGATCCCCCCTCCTTAAGCCCCACATTGGCAGACTGTGGTGGGGCAAGGGGTTCCTTGGGTGGGAATGACCTTGGCGATGTGGTGATGCCTCTTCAGCAGGTCCTGTTCGTGACAGCTCTCCTTCATCACATCCAGGTTGGGAAACGCCGGAGCCCCTTGTGGCAGAGGTCCCAAGCCCCACCCAGGATTCCAGTCTATACACGTCCCTGTGTTCTCAGAAGCAGCTGGCCTCAGGGTGTCCGAGTCTGAGGTACTGGACCAGTGGACTGTACAATCGAAGATCTTGTCTGAGGGAGAGCCTGGGGGTGAGGGCTTCCTTCGGGCTTGGCTCCCCCACCCCTTCCCAGCTCTAGGAGAGCCCTTCCACGAACCCTGGAATTTGTCACACTTCCTGTCAGTGGGCAAACACACGTTGGAGGGTGCGGGTGATGAACAGTGGCAGGTCACAATGTAGTCAGAGTCCCGAGGTAGGCCAGCCAGGAGAGGGTCACTGTAAGACAAGGGGTGCTGCTCTGAGACCAGCCCCCATGCCCCAGCACCTCCAGGTCCTCCATGACACCCCAGAGAGGCCTCAGCCCTGAACATAGTGTCTCTCAATCACTGTAGAAGCTGATGCTGGAGGAAAGATGGTACCAACCCCAGGAACCAGGGGGGCCCAGAGAAGGAAGGAAGGGCTCTAGAGAGCCCTCCAAAAAGGACCTTAACATGGGGCCTTAACGGAAGGGCTTTCCTGGCAAGAAGCAGCGTGAGAGGCCTGGAGGTGTGGAACCACATGCTGTCTGGACACCGAGTGCACAGGATACAGTAGTGTCCACAGAGCAACCTGAGTCAAGCATGGAAGGCCAGGCTGAGGAGTGTGAACCTGGCCTCGCAGGTAAACGGGAGCCATGGAGTGTGAGCAGTGAGCAGTGGGGAAGTGGTCAGTAAATACTAGCTGAATTGGGGCCTGGGACAGTACCGGGCAAGGCTGCTAATTGTTGTTGAGTGCCATCAAGTCAATTCTGACCTTTAGCAACTTCAAGTGACAGAATACAACTACCCCATAGGATTTTCTGGTGCCGTCGGATAGACAATGGATTGCTAACCACAAGGCTGGCAGTTTAAACCCACCAGCTGTTCTGAGAGAGATGAGGCTATCTGCTCCTGTAAAGAGGTACAGTCTCAGAAACCCTCTATGTCGGATTGCTATGCATCAGAATTGACTTGATTGCAGTGTTTTTTGTTTGTTTACTCTTGATAGGAGCAGATCACCAGGTTTTTCTCCCATGGAGACGCTGGGTGGGTTTGAAGTGCCAACTTTTCAGTTAGGCAACCATGTGTTTAACCACTATGCCAGGAAGGCTATGGACAGAAAATTACTTGGCTCAGGGCTGGCACATACAGAGAAACGTAGAGTGGGTATGCCTGCAGAAACTTCCAGGAAATGGGCACCTTGTCCTAAGTCATGCTGAGTCAAACCCTTGACTCTTCTCTTCTGCTGCTTTTGCTGGACACTCTACCTGGTGTCCTTTCCTTGGCCCAGTCTGCTTTAGAAGACTCCTATATATATATATATACCCTTCAAAACTCCACTGTACATCTCTGAAAGGCCTTATTTAATCCTTTTTGTTAGTTCATATTTACTGAGCCCCTTCTGAGGGCTGGGAGCACCCTAAGCACTCACTGAGTTCATGATGTACCTTAGGCCTGAAATATTCTAGGCTTCCCTTCAAGAGCCACTTCTGCCTCAGGGATCGTTTCCAGAGGCAGTGGAACACAATGGCTAAAATTCTAGCTTTGTCTCACTGTCCCTAACTATAAAAGAGGGATGTTACAGTATCCACCTTGCTGGGTTGTTGTGATTAAGTAAATTAATCCATGCCAGTGCCTGGCATACAGTAAGGGCTCAATCAGTGTTTGTCCTTGTATGTCATCTGAGAACCTGGGACCTGAAGGCCACGGGTGCCCTGCAGAATTGGGAGAGGAAAGGGGCAAGGCATTTCTGAGCACCAACTGCAGGCGGGCCCGTCATGTGCTTCCTTCCCACGTGGATTGCCCCCCTTCACCCCACATGCAGCTATTTCTTTCCCAATTCCTCCCGGGAGAATTTTTGGGTGGGGTCATCGGGCGAGGAATCTTGAGCCCGCGAGGCTCTAGTTCTGCTTCCACCCCACCTACCACATACCACCTGTTCATGCTCTCCCATTAGGGACCGCGAAACCAGTCCCTAGCTGTGACGCCGAAATTTGATCCTGTGGGGACACCATCGCTGTAAAAAAACGTGCCGAGGTTGAAGGTGGAGTCACAGAGAGGGGTGTGGCCGGCATTTTAGCTCCGCCCCCTACAATGTAGGCAAAGACCTCTTTGATGCCGTCCCTCTTCCTCAGTTTTTAAAGGTCGCTGTGTAATTGGATAAGAACCCTACCCAAGGGCGGGATCCCAGGCTGATTTTTGCTAACCGATTAGTCAATATATAAGAGGCAGTACCAGAGGGAAAGGGTCGCAGATCTATGATTCTATTGGCTTTGGGCTCAGCTGGGAGGCGGGACGCATTATTTGATTGGGGGAAACCAGGAGGAGGAGATCCGCGGTCTACTAAGGTGGAGTGAGCCGCGGGAGTGGGTTACTGCGTTCAGCCCACCGGGTCGCGAGATCCAACCTCGACTCCTTTGGCCTCGGACTCCTGGGTGCTCCAGGTTGAGGTCCTCGTTCCCAACGGTGGGGTTGGTGTTTCCAGTATGAAATTTGGGGCTTCCTAGGATTACTTGTGTTGTGCCTAGGCGTCGCTATGAGTCGGAAGCGACTCGACTGCACCTAACAACACCATCAAGAATCATTTGGGGTCCCCAGTAGTGATTTGAGGATTCCATCGATCTACCTGGGATTCTGTCATGAGAAGATGGGTCTTTGGTATTAAAACTAGGGTTCTTGTGATATTTGAGGCCTCACTAGGGTAATCTCTGAAGACTTTGGGCTTCGTGTTTTAAATCCAGGGGCGGAACTTTGGGGGTCTTGAGATGGCATGGATGTTAAGGTTCCAGAGGGCCTGAGATCTTGATGTCTGAAGTTCTGGAAAGATGGGTTGGGGACTTCTGGGTGTGTTTTCCTCACTCTCTGCTGACTGGTTATGACCCTGGCTTGGAGCGGGCTCAGAGTCTGAAGGCCATGGGGCAGAGGGAAAGCTCTGAGCCACCCGCCGCCTCCTCTCTAGGACTGCAAAATGGAGGAAGACGGGGAACCGGGAGGCCTGATTAAGATGGTCCATCTACTGGTCTTGTCAGGGGCCTGGGGCATGCAGATGTGGGTGACTTTCGTCTCAGGTAGGGACCCTGGCTCAGTCTGAATGTTGTGGGTTCCCTGGGGTGAGGACAGAAATGAGAGGGACCTGGAAGTGTTCTAACAGGCCTGTGGCCCTTGCACCCACAGGCTTCCTGCTTTTCCGAGGCCTTCCCCGACATACCTTTGGCCTGGTGCAGAGCAAACTATTCCCGGTTTACTTTCGCATCTCCATGGGCTGTGCCTTCATCAACCTGTGCATCTTGGCTCCACAGCATGCCTGGGCTCACCTCACATTCTGGGAGACCAGCCAGGTACGCGGGCCAGGGAGCTACTAGCCTCTAGAGAGAGATTCATTCCCAGGGATCCAGTGAGCACCTATAACTGCTGCTCAGTGCATGAACTTAAAAAAAAAAAAAAAGCGCCCAGCGCCCTGGGCTCTGTACACATTTGAGTAGTGCAAAGACTACACAACCGTCCCCAGCCAACTTGTCTTTCCACCAGTGTCTTTTTCACTAGCTGTTGGCTGCTTCCTCTCCTTCTGGGCCTCCTGCCGAGCTTTGGTGACTCAGCTAGGCTGGGGCACTGACCCCAGCTCATTGTTTAAAAACCAGCCTGGCTGGGAATTTGTGAGTCTCCACCCCCATGCTCACATTTCCCCAGGCACCAGGCAAGGAACCATATCTGCATCTCAAGTTTTTCTACCTTGCCCTTCCCCCTTACCCTATTATGTTCCTCAGATTTTGGGCAGGTGAGGCCTGACAGGTGTTTCAAGAATAATCCCATAGAGACAGGAGAGGATTATGGGTAATTGGAACCTCACAGACTTTTTATTCATTCCCTATGGGCCCCATGTTTGCTTTTGGGGTCTGGCCTGGGGCCACAGAGGAAACAGGACTTGTCTTAGGTACCGACCGTGTTTTGGAAGATCAGAAGGGGTAGTTTTGGTACTCTATCCCAATTTGGGGGGTGGGGGGTGGAGAAGGGCTATCCAGAGCTGTGTTCATTTGGGGGGAACAGGAGAAGAGGAGAAAAGGCACTGTTCTGAGACTTCCAGTCTGGGGATCAGAGGAGACTGGGTCCTGAAGGGTTTGAGAAAATAAAGGAGACAGATGGAGCCTTTCCTTAGAGGCTGCCAGTTTGGCAGACAAGAGCTGGAATTCTGCTTTTGGGCATCCCTGTCTCGGGTTAGGGAAGAAGGGAAGGTCTGACTTTGACCCAGTGCTGCCCCACCCCCCTCTGGGCTACAAGGATGCAGAAGGGAGGATCCCCCAGACCTGCCTCACCTTCTCCCCTTCCCACCGCCCCCTCCAGCTTTGCCTGTTGCTCCTGTGCCTCACGCTGGCAGCCATCAATGCTCAATGGCTTGAGCCACGAACCACAGATGCCATGTGGGCCCTGCAGACCCTGGAGAAGGAGCGGGGTCTGGGCCGGGAGGTGCCGGGCAGCCACCAAGGCTCCGACCCCTATCGCCAGTTTCGGGAACAGGACCCGAAGTACAGTGGCCTCCGCCAGGTCTTCTTCCGCTACCATGGCCTCTCCTCCATTTGCAATCTGGGCTGCCTCCTGAGTAATGGGCTTTGCCTGGCTGGCCTCGCCCTGAACCTCAGCCGCCTGTAGCCCCAACCCCTGCCACTGTCTCGTTTCTGCTTGGGGTCCTGCATTTCAATAAAAGGCACTCTTGGAAATGGCTGCTGTTGTCTTTGTACTTAGAAGCGGGGGGTCGGCAGGATTGAGAGCCTCAGTTTCCCCATTCACTTGGCACAGTGATGTGGAGCCTTAGTCCCTCCTGTATGGTGCCGTTGATTGGCCCCTTTGCTTTGTGCCTGACAGGGCACTAAACACTGCACACGTCTATCATTGTCTGATAGCTGGTTTTCAGGAACACTCATGTATATATACCACCCCCTGGACACTGGGCATGGTTGTGTGACTTGCTTTGGCCAATCAAATGTGGGCAAAAGGGCATCGCCTTGCAGAAATGTTAAGAGCCCTGCATGATTCATAACAGTTCCCCTTCACCATGGCAACCAGTGTAGATGAGAAGCAAACCGTGGCAACTGGGTGCCATGGAGACTGGAATCGCCTGTTACTGCAGTGGAACCCAGTCTTTCCTGACTAATTCCCTCCCTCTCAGTTATCCACGTTGCCATCTTTGGTGACAGCTACTGTTCCCAGGGGTCAATGGGAGCTCAGAGAAGTGCAGCAAGCAGCTTTAGAGGTGCTAAGAGTTGAACAGAGCTGTTGTAACAGCGGACCTTGTGTTGGCTTGAAGACAACTCGGGTGTCAGCTGCTCATAGATGCCAGATCTCCTTACTGTGTGGCTTCAAGCAAGGAGCTGCACCTCTCTGAGCCTTAGTTTCCTTACCCATGAAACCAAACCAAATTCATTGCCTCCTAATTGTTTCTGACTCAAAGTGACTCGGTAGGAAGGAGTAGATATTTGACCTTTAGGTTAGCAGCCCAGTGCTCAACTACAGTACCACCAGGCCTCCTTTCATCAGAAAACCAAAAATCCAACTAAAGCCACTGCCATCAAGTCTACACTGAGGCATAATGACCCTCTAGAACAGAAAAGAACTGCCCCATACGGAATCCAAGGCTGTAAATCTTTAGGAAAGCAGACAGCCACAGCTTTGCCCAGAGTGGCTGGTGGGTTCAAATCTCTGACTTTTGACCTTTCATTTAGCATCCAGAGCACTTAATCACGGTACCAACGAGGGCTCCTTTTATTCGTAATAGAATATTTCATTCCATGGGTGGGCCCTTGCCAACATTTAGCAAATGGGTCCAGCCTACTTTAGGATCACGTGTCACAAAACACTGACTTCCATCGAAACCCTCCTAGAACCCTGTGAGGTGAGTACTACCGTTATCCCCCACTCAACAGTTGAGGAAACAGGCGCGGAGAGGTTAAATAACCGGGCCGAAGGCACAAGGCTAGAAAGTTGTGGAAATGGAATTTTGAATTCGGCTACCGAATCTGCGCTCTTTTTAACTTCTGGGCACCACCAGCGTTCTACAAGCCCCACCCCAGGTCTTGCCCCGCCCATATAATAAACGCATCATACAGTTGTTGTTTTTTTAACCCACTGTTGGATCAAAGTGACACTACTCGGATAGGACAGAGTAGAATTGGCCCTTCTTTAAGGAAGCGAGTTCGAGGAGCCATCCTTTTGGTGCGCAGCCAAGCACTTTAACCACTGCGCCACTAGGACTAGGGTTCCAATTTATTGTGATCCTATATAAGGTTTCTGAGGTTGTACTTATTATGGGCTTTGCTGGTGTGGCGCTGTGGATTAATGTGCAGGACTGCAAAGTCGGTTTGAACTGTAAGGTCGGCTGTTGAAGCTCACTAGCCATTCCTTGGAAACATACAGGGGCGCTGGGTCGTAAATCGACAAGATGGCACTTAACAAAAAGTCTTTATGGGAGCAGATAGCTTTATTTTTCTTCCTCAGAGCAGCTGGTGGGTTTGAACTACCGATCTTATGGTTAGCAGTCCAGCGCTTACCCTACGAAGAAGAGTAAATTGTTTATTTGGGGTAGATGCTGGACTCCCGTTACCGCTTCCAGGCCCTCCCACCTGTCTGCTACAAGCCCCGCCCAATCTCGCCCCGCCCTCCCCCAGGAACTGCCCCTTTTTCCCCGCCTGGGCGGTGCCCGCGGGATCCGGGTGGTTGCGGGCAGCTGTGGCAGAGTCTGCGGGGTCGGGGTCGCGGGCCAAGTCACGGCAAGTTCGGAGGCGGAGTCCCGGAGCGCAGCGTCCTCCCAGGCGAGGTGACCCCCTTTCGGAGGGAGAGGCCCTACCCAGCGCCTAGGCGTCCCGGCAGGTTCGGGGGAGTGGGGGGGCGGAAAGATAGGGGTAGGGCGGGGGCGTGGGGGGGGGGGACTGAGGAACAAAGGCAGGGAAGCCAGTGACGCCTCTT